CCCCCCCCCCCCCCCGTGAGCCTGCATGAGTACCAGCCCCAGACAGGACAGAAGAGGGCAGGACCTGCGAGTTAGAAAGGGTTCCCCCTTCAACGCACGCCTGACTGCCTCCTGTTGGAGAGTTGCTGTAATACATAAATGCACCCAGGGCATCTTTAGGATGACCACCCAGCTGCGTGTGGCGTCCTGGGAGAGAGCTGGGGAAGGGACGAGAGGGGGCTGTCAGGTGGCAGGGGAGAGCAGCCTCCTGACGCTGTTTGCCTAGGAGCTGCAGGCCGTGGCACAGCAGTTCTCCCTTCCTCAGAAGCGAGTCTTGGAGGAACTGGATGGTGAGCGATGCAGCCGGCAGACAGACTGGCCGGCCCCCGGATCCCCCTGCTCTGGCCGGCCTTGGGAGACCCCTCTCATCCCCTTATCCTGGGCTCCCCCGGGCGCACCCTTGAAGAGGCAGGGACGGGGCCCAGCCGGGGAGCACAGTAGTCCCTGTTGCTGCAGGACCAGTGAAGGGCCTGGGGAGGCTGGCTGGATGGGTGAAGAAGGCCCCTAGGCCCCTGGGGGCCAGCCCTGCAGACCACCCTGTGCTCTCCAGGTGTCGGCATGAGCATTGGGAGCACCATCCACACCCAGCTCAAGAGCACTGTGTATGAAGTGCTGGCCTCAGTGAGCAGCCTGGGCCAGGGTGAGTGGGCCCAGTGTCCTGGGTGGGCGTCGCATGGGGGCAGGCCCCACCTTCACCCAGCCCAGGATTTCTTATGCTGCCTCAGCGAGCCCCTCCCCTGACTTGCTCATGGCTTTATCCTAGGATCCCCAACCTGGCTTAACTTGCCCTAGGGCAGTCTCCATTATGAACCTACAGAGGTTCATGACCCGCATCCCTTGGGTTGGGGGGAGGGGGAGGTGTTCTATCTCCCACAAGGCCTCTGAGATTGCCGGGTCCAGAAGGGGGTCTCTCAGCCCTGCAGGTCTCTGTGGATCACTTGCAAGCCCTAAACACCACGTTGGTGGAGCTGCGGAAGGGACAGCAGGACCTGGAGCCAGCCGTCCGGGAGCACCGCGAGCGCCTCCTCGCCCTGCTGCAGGAGTCCGGCTGCCAGGGCTGCACCGAGGCCCAGAGCCGAGCCCGTGCCCTGGAGCTGGGAGCTGACTTCCACCAGGTGAGGGCCCCCCGAAGGGAAGGGGGCTGCTCTGCCCGCTGCCCCGGGAGTCCTGGGTGTTTCCTGAGGCAGATTCCAGCTCCCTTCCCTCGAACAGCTCCTCCCCTCTCCACATAGCAAGGGTTAATGCTAGTCATCCCGGCAGCCTGGCGAGAGCTTTCCTGGGCCACGTGCTGTGCTGTGGGCTTCCTGTATCTTAGCTCCTTGAGTTCTCCTTGCCACCTCGGGAGGTGGGCCCCGTTTTGCATGTGAGGACAATGAGGGTTCCTCCCATCCTCCCTCAGGGTTCCCCCTTAGGCCTCTCCATGGACTTTGTCATACCACCGCCCCCATTTCAGGTATCCCCTGTGGACGATGTCCTGCATCGGCTGAAGGGTGTCCCAGAGGCCAACTTCTCCAGTATGGTCCAGGAGGTGAGTGCATGCCCATTCTACCTGACTTCCCCGCCACCTGGCAGCTCACAAGTGAGGGGGCCTCATCTTCCCCCTTTGGGGGTGGGAACCCAGTTGAACCTAAGACTTGGGTCAAATCAGGGCCTTCCCTACCACAGGGCTCCCTGGGCTAGAGGCTCATGATGCTGGTTCTCGAGTGCACGCAGTCTGGTGGGGGAGGCAGGCCCGGAACTCAGAAGGAAGAGCTGGGCCCCTTGAGGTGGTGGGGGCTGGGGTGGCCAGGGAGCCAGGACACAAGCCGAGCCCTGAAGGTGCAGCCCTCAGGGCAGCTGGGCTGTGGGGGAGGGTGCCCATGAGTCAGTACCTGTGACCCAGGGCCTGGAAAATTCCAGAGTTGGGGAAATGGTGAGTCACCTGTCCTGGGTGGCTGGAGCTGAAGGTCCCAGGAGGAAGGGAACAGCAGCTGAGGCTGGAAGAGTAGGTTGGAGCTGGACTTTAGGGAGCGAGGCCTGGCGTCACACGCAGGATGGATGAAAGAGAAGAGGATGGCCAGAGGCTGCCACAGTCTCGGCGAGAGGGGTGGGGAGAGAAAGGAGGGGTCTTCCAGGAGCAATGTTTTGGGGAGCCGAGTCAGGCTGGGCTGAGGGAGCAGAGAAGAGGCCATCCACCAAGAGAACAAAGGGAGGCCTGTTTCCTGATTTCCTGAGCTGGGAGCGCTGAGTGGGATGCCCTCCCCCCCGGGCCTGGTGCTGTCAGGGGCCCCTCAAGCTGGGACCATGGGTGCGAAGCAGGACGCACAGCTGCCTTTTGTTCCGGCAGGAGAACAGCACCTTCAATGCCCTCCCGCTCCTGGTGGCCTTGCAGACGGCCAACGTGGTCAAAGGTGAGGCCCTGTCCAGGGGCCGGGTTGGCTGCCGAGCGTGCTGCTCCCACCAGAGAGGCTCATGGAGAGGGGGTGGGGCAGTAGGGGCGATGGGGGGAGGGTGCAGGCTGTCCTCCATCTGGGCCTGGTCTCTTTAGTGGGCCCTCTCTGGGGGTCCCAGAACGTCTTCTGGCCCATCCGTCTCCTCCCTGGGCTCCTGGGAGACTTCCCCCTCCCATGAGTCTCTGCTGCTTGGGGCAGAGGTGAAGAAGGTGGTGGCCCAGAAGCCTGAAGGGCTGAAGACACTGGCGGAAAGGTTCCCAGGCTGGGAGGCAGCCTCTCGCTGGAGCCGGGCGCTGAAGGAGGTGGAACAGAGTAGCCGCCCCTACCTGAAGGAGGTGCAGAGATACGAGAAATACAGGTGCCCGGGAACCCATGGGCTTGGGGATGGGATAGGCAGCCCAGCCTCTCAGGCACGCTGGGCCCCGATTTCCAGCCCTCATCAACCCCTGGCTATATTGAGCATCTGCCTCCATTTCAGCCAAGGCCCCTTACTCCTTGGGCCTCCGTCTCCACCTTGGCTATGTACCCTTGGGACCTGAGCCTGGGGAGGCAACGGGGGAGCAGTGGGCCCCCACCTAGCCATAGGTCCTATGCCAGCCCATCCTGGTGTCTCCCTTCTCGGTGACACTGCACCCTCTCTGTGGCAGGTGGATTTTGGGCTGCGTGTTGTGCTCCGCAGTCCTGCTTGTGGTGGTCTGTAACCTGTTGGGCCTCAACCTGGGCATCTGGGGACTGTCTGCCAGGGAGGACCCCAGCCGCTCGGAAGCCAAGGGCGAGGCTGGAGCCCGCTTCCTCCTGATGTAAGATGGGCTGGGGGCAGGAGAAGGGTCTCTCCCACCGGGCCGGCCGGATTCCTCTCATGCCCATGGACAGCTCCTAGTGTGGCTACAGGAGCAAGTCCTGAGAATCAAGAGGCTGAGCTCTGCTTCTGGCTCTGGCACTGACTCACTGGGTGACTCTGGGCCAATTACTAACCCATCTGGGCCTCCACGTCCTCATCTGTGTAAAAGGGTTGGACTAGAGCAGGAATGGCAAATAAGAAGCACTTCCCCCGTCCATACCAGTGGCAATTATAGTAACCGATGGGCACTCTTTCCCACTGAGCCGGACGTAGCCTCAGAATCCTTCTTAACCCAGCATCTAGATAGCACTACCAACAGGGGATGGCACCAGAGGTAGAATCTGTTTGCCATCTCTGGACTAGATGTTTTCTAAGGCCGGGGACGCCACATTCAGTTGTGCATAATGGTGCCTGAACAAAGGGGTGAGTGGAGGCTGAAATCTAGTCCTTGTTCTATTCTCCAAGCCTCAAACCCTGGCTTGGGGCTGTGCCTATCCCACAGAGAAGCCCTACAGGTCAGCAGCACTGGTCCCATTCAGCCCCTCTAAGTTGCGGCCCCTACTGCGCCAGGGGGCTCTGTTGAGGGCTGAGCTCTGGAGCCGGTCATCTCCATGTGCCCTCGGCTCAGAGGCGGGCTGTCCTGTGTCTTCGAGCAAAGCAGCTACTCTCTCCTGTAGGCTGCCAGGGCCAGCCAGGGCATCAGTGATAGGTGGGAGTGGGGGGCAGGTGAGGGGGCCAGCCAGGGTGTCAGTGATAGGTGGGAGTGGGGGGCGGGGGAGGGGGCCAGTCAGGGGGTCAGTGATAGGTGGGAGTGGGGGGCAGGGGAGGGGGGGCAGCCAGCTGTTCTGACTTCTCCCTCCTGGCCTTAGGAGGCTGAGTCCTCAAAGGGCTCTGCCCTGGGGCTGACTCGCTGACCATACTGGCCGCCCCCCCCATGTGGTGGGACAGAGGGTGTGTGGTCCAGGGTAGCCAGCCTCCTGTCTCCGACCTCAACCCCATCCCTCTGCCTTCCCCAGAGGTGTGGGCTTCAGCTTCCTCTTCGCTGCACCCCTCATCCTCCTTGTCTTTGCCACCTTCCTGGTGGGCGGCAATGTGCAGACTCTAGTGTGTCAGAGCTGGGAGAGCAAAGAGCTCTACAAGGTGACCCTGCCTGCCCTGCTCTAGGGCCCAGAGGGAGGGGGAGGGGACCAGGCTCTAGGGGAACCGGGGGTGGCCTTGCCCTCAGCCTGCTCAGGGCCCTTTTCTCTTTGCCCCATTTCCAGTTTGCAGACACCCCAGGGAACTTGCCCCCATCCATGAACTTGTCTCAGCTTCTTGGCCTGAAGAAGAACATCAGCATCCTCCTGGCCTATCAGTGAGTGGGAAGCCTCTGCTGGGGGACAGGGTGTGGGGAGGAGCTGAGGTAGCGGATGTCAGCCCCCACCTGCTGTCCTTCTCTCCCATCTTCGAAGTCCATTATTCCTCCCCAGGCAATGCAGGGAAGGGGCCGCGCTCTGGAGCATCCTGCAGCTCAATGACTCCTATGATCTGGAGAAGCACCTGAATATCAGCCAGGTAAGGGAAACTTCTGGAAGGCTGTGGAGATCCCTCCTGCAGAACCCCCCTCCTCTGGCCTTGCCTCTGTGGTGGGACCATCTTATTGAACCCGAGAAGTCTGCAAGAGTGATGGAGGTACCTCAGGGGGCAGAGGCCTCAGGTGCAAGCTCAGGGCCTGGCCCAGGGCGAGAGCCCAGGATGGTTTCTAGGGTGTGTGGGAGGATGGATGAATGCCTAGAGGCACAGCTCCGAACACTGTGCTCCAAGAAGAACTGAACACAGTTGAGGCTGTAGCAGGAAGGGCTGGTGACAGTGAGTGACAGGGCTAGGGTGTGCGTGTCCTTACTGAGGACAGGCATTGGTTGGAATGCTGTGGTCGGTAGTGGGGTGGTTGGGGATGGGGTGTGACGGTGAAAACAATGGTGATGATGTTGGGAGTCCCTGGAGGATGGCTCACCAGAGGCCCTCCGCTTAGCTCCCACAGCCGTAAAGGTGGGCCAGGGAAGCTATTTTATAGTGGGTGGCCAGGGAAGGTCTGTGTTGCTGTCCACTAGCCAGAAAGGTGCTGGTGGAGAGCTAGGTCTTGGTGGGGGTGGGTTGGAGTGGGGGCAGGTGAGAAGCAGAGACCTCCTGGGAAACTGTCTGGGGCTGGAAGTTTCCAAGGTGGGGGTCCTGGATATGCAGAAGGAGGGCCCTGTGGGCCTGGTGTCTCCTCACCTAGGAGAGCAGCTCTGGGGTCCTGGCTCAGCAACTGGGCATGCCCTCACCCTGGCCCCCCGCCCCCCCTCAGTACACTGCCAAGCTGCAGCAGGAGTTGCAGAACCTCAAAGTAGACATGAAGAATCTGGACCTGCTGAGCCCAGCCGCCCACCGGGACCTGGAAGCCCTGCAGAGCAGTGGGCTTGAGAAAATCCACTATTCCAGCTTCCTCGTTCAGGTCAGCAGGGAGCACCTCAGGCCAGACCATGGCAGACAGGGGGGCTTGCAGAGGAGCTGGGCCAAGGGGTGGTATGTTATGTCATCACAGCCCTCCCCATTCCCTCCACTTTTCTACATGTCCCTGGGGGGGGTCTCTTCCTGTTGGGGGTGTCCGCACACCATGCGCCTCCTGCCTGTCCCGGTGCCCCCATCTGGGCTGGGCAGGAATGACCGGGCTCCCACCCAACAGCACGTGTCGCTGTTCATGGTCCTGAACCCACTGCTGTGGCGAATGCTGGTGGGAGGTGGTCTCCTCATTGGGTTACACAAAAGGCGTCTCATTGTTTGTTTGTTTTTCTATCCTAATAGAAAATTCCTGATATATTTCACAGTTTCAGGCCAAACCCACTGTGAGCCGTGTGTCACGATAGACTTAGCTGGTGCGGGGTACTTCTGAATAGATTGGGAATTTGAGGGCTGAGGGAGCCAGCGTGCATTCCCTGTTGGCCTCTCCTGTCTGTCTCCAGATCCAGAAGCCCGTGGTGAACACCAACATGGAGAAGCTGGCCCAGGAGCTGGAAGAATTGGCCCAGACCCAAGTGAGAAGGGGCCAGAGACCCCACTGGGCAGGCAGGACTCAGAGAGAGGCCTGGGAGGTGGGAGAGGGTGGGAGGGCTTAGACTGGGGAGGGACACGAAGACAAAGGCAGGGAATTGTGAGGTTCCCACCAGTGAGCGCTGAGGCTCTGGGTCCCTGGGGCGGGCTTAAGAGTTTTACAGTATCAATTCTGACTTAAGCTCTACCTCCAATGGGCTGTGTGGCCATGGGCAGGTCATTCAGTATCTCTGGGCCTCGGTTTCTTCATCTGTAAAGTGGATTATCCTCCACCTCAGATCAGATGAAGTGACTGGTCTGACGTCATACAGTGGGGCAAGCATTTCTAAGTGCACACTGCTCATGGAGTCTGTTGGGGCAGGTGTGAGGACAGTGCTATGGACTAGATGTCATGATAGTTATCCTCAAGAAGCTTAAACTACTGGAAAAAAATAGCATTTTGTATTTCTAAATATTTAGAGCTTAAAAAGTGCTCTTTGAGACATGACTCCACACTAAGCACTCAGGTGGGTAGAATGAGGAGTATTCCTGTTTTAGGAGATACCACTGCACCTCAGACAAACTCAGTGTGGCTGGCTTAGAGGCACCTAGTAAGCTAGTGGTAGACCTAGAACTTGGGCTCAGTGCCTCCAAACCTGGATCAGGCCCAGGAGCTTAAGGAGGCCTCGGTTTTCTGCCTCTGAGCCCAGCACTTTCCACATCTTCTCAGTATGTCTGACTGAACAGTTGGGTAAAGCATATGTTGGCAGAGGCTGTCCTGTCCCTGGCAGAGTACCATTCTCATCTCTGTCTCCCCTCAGGGCAGTTCTGTGCTGGGGAAGCAACTGCAGGAGGAGGCCCAAGGGCTCAAAAACCTCTATCAGGAGAAGGTCCTCCCCCAGCAGAGCCTTGTGGTAAGTTTGGAGGCCCAGGGAGCCTGGAACCCGGGGAAGAGGAGAGGCAGGGAGGGCTAAAAGAGGAGGGAGGGGCGGGAAACTTTCTTCTCTATGCATCCCTTCCCTTAACCAGCCCTGCTCTCTCCTCCACAGGCCAATCTCAACCTCACTGTCAGGGCCCTGGCATCCTCAGCCCCGAATCTCCAGGTGGCTGCTGGGGATGGGGAGGGTCGGGTGGAGCAGGTGGGCAAGAGAGGGAAAAGGAAGGGCCCTGCTGGCTTGGGATCTCATCTGCTCTGCTGAGTCCCCCTGGAGGTTGAGGATAGGGGGTGGGAAGAAATGGGGGTGGGTGGGCAGATCCTTAAAGACCACTGTCTTTGGCCTCTGTGTCTTAGGGCCTAACACCCCCAACCCAAGGTGAGTATGTGTGCGTGAGATGTTGAATTAAGGAATGGGTGAGTGAATGCATGGCTGCTCCTGACTGAGCAGGGCGCTGAATCAAGCCTTTCTCCTTTCCCCCAGATGGAGACCTCTGGTGTCTTGGACAAGGTCGCTTACCTAAAAGGAGAGCTGCCTACCTGGGCCACCAGGATCTTGAGGAATGTGAGTGGGACATGGGACAGGGGCAGGGGGGCTGCCACATAGTCAGAGATGGACCGAGGTGCTAAAGCACATGGAGCGTCCGCCCAGGCTTCTCCTCCACCCTGTCCCCTCACTGTGGCTCCCAGGAAAGCCAGCTCGGCCTGTCCTGCTGGTGCCGGGCATGGGGGGCGGTGGGGGCTGGTTCCTGGGACACCTACCAGCCGTGGGCTCCTCTCTCTCCTGCAGGAAAGTGAGTGTTTCCTGACCCGGGAGGTGGGTTACTTCTCCCAGTACGTGGCCTGGGTAAGAGAGGAGGTGAGTGGAGGTCCAGGCCCTCCCGGCCTCAAGCAGGCTCCTGGCGGCATCGGCTTTCCACACTCTTGCATCCCTCCTCTGTCCCCTAAAGCCCCTGGGGGTGCCCTAGGCCTTCAGCATTGAACCCAAACTCTGCGTCTGGCATCTGCACCCCTGCTTCCTGGTGGGGCTCTGCTCACTCAGCCTCTGCCGCAGCCCTTCTCTGAGGCCTGAGTGTGAGCTGGGCCAGCCGTGGCTCTCTAGAACCTTGCCCCTGTGCCCTTCCTCATGCGGACCCTTTGCCCAGCTCTCCAAGCGCACCGCCTCCTGCAGGCCTGTGCTGACCACGGCCTCTGCAAGCTGTCTGGCATGCACACTGGGCGGGTGTGGTCTTGCTGAACCCCGAGTGTGCGTGTGCGTGTGCATGTGTATGGGGGGCATAGGCATGTGCGTGCACACCACCCGTGGGGCTCTCCACCGAGGGTGTGAACTTAAAGAACAGTCCTGGGCACACAGTAGAGGCTTAATCCAGCCTGGCAAATGGGATGGAAGAGGCAGCAGCAGAGCGATGAGCCTGTGTCGGTGTGTCTTCGTCTCTGTGTCCCTGCGTCCACGTGTCTGCATATAGCTGTGCAGTGGCTCCCCCGACTGTGTCCCCAGACCTCTCTCTGTCCCTGGCACCCTCTTTCTCCGAATGTGGGGTGTGCACCCGTGCGTCTGAGCGTCTCTGCATGTGCCTGCCTTGTGTCCACACTGCAGGTGACTCAGCACATTGCCACCTGCAAACCTCTTTCCGGAGCCCTGGACAATGGCCGTGTGGTCCTGTGTGACATGATGGCCGACCCCTGGGTGAGTGCCTCCAGCTCCTCAGGGCTCGTGGACTTCCTCCAGGCCTGCACACCAGACCTTCCCCTCAGCCCCAAGAATGCTTCCCCGTGCCCCTCGCTGACTCAGTGGGAAGACTGGGGCTGGGAAGAAGTCGCTGCCTAGCCACAGCGAGCTGACCTCACACCCTCTGTTCTAGAATGCCTTCTGGTTCTGCCTGGCATGGTGCACCTTCTTCCTGATCCCCAGCATCATCTTTGCTGTCAAGACCTCCAAATACTTTCATCCCATTTGGAAACGCCTCAGGTGAGGAGGCTGCCAGGACTGAGGGGGACAGCTGGGGTCCAGGAAGGAGTCCTTCTAGTCGCTGGGTACTGATCCCCTGCCACACCCCCTCCAGAGGCCTCCCCGGCAGAGGAGGCTCATGCCTAGCTCTGAAGAGTCACACGCTCTGAGCAACTCCAGGGCCAGGAAGTTCTTTCGTATGTCTGCCCCATAATCTGCTTGTTGCAACACATCCCCTCCAGGCACAGCTTTTTGGAACTCTTCCTACCCCTGGAGAGCTTCTACGGTGGGAAAATCGGGCTCTGGGCTTGTCCCTGTGTCGGGGCTGAGGGTCTGTGTCTGGGGGCTCACTCACTTTCTTTTTGTGACATCACAGTTCCACCAGCTCGGAGGAGACTCAGCTCTTCCACATCCCCCGGGTCACCTCCCTGAAGCTGTAGGGCCCCAGTGGGTAAGTTTCCCCACCTGCTTCGTTCCTTGGTGCCGGGAGTGGGGCATAGGAAGGGAAGGGATGGGTTTGGGATCTGGGGTCTCTAGGGCCCAGGAGGGCAGGAAGGTTCTGGGACTTGGTGGGGTCTGAGTGTTGGATCTGGCCCACTCAGCCTGAGCCCTGCCTTCCCCACCTTCTCCCTCACCTTTGGTTCTTAATCCATAACAGGGGTATTTGCTGGCTGCAAGGTGATGCCTGGGGCTGCCTGCCTTCCTCCTCCTTTGATTTGCCCTGGACCAGAGGACTTCTGTTGCCCTTGCTCAGAGCCCAGACTGGCATCAGGCCTGGATTGTCCTTCAACTCCAGTTACCTGACCCCATTTTGCCTATTTCTTCCCCCCCCCCTCCTTGCTGCTCATGAACCCCTTTTTTCATTCTCAGAAGCACATTTAACTTTTGTTGGGCTACAGGAGCCAATAGATTCTTCCAGATATCGATCCCTTATCCTCCTCGCTGCAACATATTAGCACCAGCGGGAGCCTGTTCTCCATCTATTGGAACCCCTTCCTCAGCCCCGTGGGTGAGACAGAGGCCCTGCCCAACCCCATTCTGTCACCATCTGTCCCATCCCCTGCCACACCTCCCCCCCGCTCCTTACCAAGCTCCTGCCCCTTTTCATCATCTGACCTGCCCGCCTATCCAACTCCACTCTGCCCCAGCCCTTACATCCTCCCCGCCGGGGAAACCTTTTTCCCTGCTTTGTCCCCTTTCTACCTTATCCCACTACCTTGCTGGCACCCAGGGACCCCTCCTGCCCAACTAAGCTAATCAGGTAAAGCCATCAAGCAGGCCAGGGGACGCTAGGGCTCTCTGCCTCATGGCCCTCGAGCCCTCCACTGCCCAGACACCTGGACCCTCCACAGGCCCTGGCCTGGATTTCTGGCCACCCTGTGGGTTGAGGGAGGCCTGTCTGAAGGCTGAGCCCCTTGCCTGCACCCTGGGTTGGAAATAGTGCTTTGTCCTGCAGCTCCTCTCTGAGCACTGTCTCCCTAGGAAGGGACCTGGGACACAGGCCAGAGTGGGGGGGGTCACCCCCAGCTCCCCAGAAGGTAGCCTCTTTGACAACCCCCACCCAGCTTTCCCAGGAGAGACCTGGTGGCCACAACTGGATTTTGTACTGTGGCCATTACTCTTTCTATCCTATGCATGAGGCCTAGTCCATCCTGTGTCTTCTCTGCATGCTGGATGCTGAGTCCCAGAAACAGGGAAAAGGAGAAGGAGAGAGAAGAGATGGACAAAACCTCAGATCCATTAAAGTGTTATCACTTCCTAAGCCTTGGCCTTGGATGTCTGACACCAGCTCAGGCTAGGGCCCTCTATGCAGTTGGTGTTTAATGAGTTTTTTTGGAGAGGAAAATCCAAGACTTCCTCTGACTGTAGACATCCAGGATTACCCCAGCAATCAGCAGATGGGGAGTGGGACCCACTCTGGGAGCAGGCAGACCTGGCTGCACGTCCTGGCTTTAATGCTTGGTAGCTAGGACCCCTTGAACATGTTCTCTGTGTTCCCTAGACCTCAGTGTCTCCACTTCTAAATCGGAGAAAATAGTCATGACCGCCTCCTAGGGCTATGAAAAATGTGAATTGCATGGAAAACTCTTGGCAGGAGCCTGGCACAGAACAAATGCTCAGATGCTGCTTTTTTTTTTTTTTTTTTTTTTTTGCCATGACCGCTCTGGGCCATGGGCCGAGCTGGGTCTTGGCAGGTACAAAGGAGGAGGGAGATGGGTCCCTGTTCAAAGGTGCGAAGCCCTTTAAGATTGTAGTCTGCTGAGTTTCAGGGGGTGTTTATGTTGAATTGCATCTTACAAGCCAGCAACAGATCTACTACTAGAAATTAGGATGGTGGGTACACAACCTATGGTCCCTGTTGCAAGCACACTCCAAGCAGGCATCCTTGAATGAGGCACAACTGCTTTTTTTTTTTTTTTTGGCTTTTCCCAAAGCTTTTTGGGCTTGTTTCTCATCTGTTGCCCTATGCAGGGAACTGTGGCGCCCTGCATGTTAAGAATGAAATTGATGGGATGAAAATAGAGAAAACAATTAAAAAATAATTTCCAGTTCTCTATCTTATCTTTTTGATATGTGAGCATACCGCACATGGTTATTTTAAAATTTAATAACTTCCTAATATGGAACCTCTTGGAGTCTATTTCTAGTGTCTGTTGTTTATCTTGGTTTTTGTTGGTTTTGCCTTGTCTCCTCACATACTTGGTGATTTTTGATTGAATGCCACACATTGCATCTGAAAACCTATACAGAAATAATCTGAGGCATAGGATGAAGTTATCTATCATCTCAAGGATTATGTTTACATCTGGTGGATGGCTTGGGATCTAGCAAACCAGGATTGTTTTAAACTAGTTTCAGGACTGAGATGATTTACAGTCCCTTGGGGTGCTGGTCTATTTCCAGTTCATTTGTATCCTGGGGGTGAATCCCTCTGGGGTCCCAACCCAAAGCATAAAAGATTTGCCAGGCACCCCCTCCTCTTGGTGGGCCTCATTTTTACCTCTAACAGCTCTCTGCTCAGTACTTTTGTAGTGTCTTCGGGGATCAGCGGATCTTCCAGGGAGAAAGTAGCTTCAAATGTCAGGCACGTGTCTCCGGGTTTCCTTCTTTTCCTTCTGGGCACAGAATTGTGCCCAGTGATTCTTTACTCCCTTGTTTAGTCTCTGATACCTCCAATCAAACTTAAAAGTAGATATTTTGAGTAGCTTTTAAGTTGTCCTTAGTTGGGAATTTAGGCCAAATTACCTAGTTCACCATGATCAGAAGTAGGAGTTCTACAAAATTAACGGATTCCCACCCCCGCCCCGACTCGGGAAAGGCTTTCACTCATTGAATCTAGGTTCCAGAGACCTTCACCCAGCCAACTGAACAGTGACTGTTCAAAGGAGCTTGGTTTGTTAGGGCCTTGCAGGGCCTTGCACTGTAGGCCCTGGTAACTGGGGATGGGGGTGGTACTCAGCAGGTGACAGAGAGATAAAAATAGCTACAGAGAAAAATATATTACATATTTTCTCAGTTTTAAAAATGCTGGAATCCTAAAATGCTCATCCTACTTTCTGTGTAAAACAAAGCCCCTTTGTGGTCACATTCTCTTCTGTTTTCACAACATTCCCTCAAGGCGGTGGGGATTTTCATGCTTGTTTCACTGTTGAGCAAACGAAGCTCTGGAAAGCTATGGGACAGAGTCAGGGTCTCACAAGTTGAAGCCCAGCCAGGCTTTGGATTCAGGTCCTCCAGTTCTGGTGGCCTTTCCTTCTTTTCCTTCTGGGCACACTGCCAGTTCCAATTCCCCAGGGCTGTGTGGGAGGGAGGCCCTGTCTCCAAGGAGATTTGATCCAAGTGTCCTTGCTGTCCCTGTGGCAGCAGGGATGACAGATTGAAGGCCCTGGGACATGCCAGATGCTCCAGCCTGGCCATCCCAGAGGAAAGGCCCCGTGGGCCATGAGTGCCAGATTCCGCCAAAGAAATGCCACATCGGCCAGGCCTTCTGAGGTGCCAGGTGTCTGGCCAGGGCAGTTCCAGCTGGCTCCAGTGTGCAGAGGAAGGGCGGTGTGGGAAGGGGCCCACTCAGGCCACCTGAGGGGACAAAGACAGTTAACATTTATTGAGTTCTGAGAATGAAGCAGGAAGTGTGCTAAGCACTTCCCATGAATTAGCTCAGATGCGAGCACTGTTGTTCACCTCTTTATGACTGCGAAAACTAAGGCCCAGAGACTGGATGAGAGCTGAGTAGAAGGGGCACAGTTTCCCAGAGGCATCAACCAATGATGGTGGCATTTCCAGCAGTATCTGAATTCTCTGGGGTCAGCCTGTGTTCCGGCTCTGGAGGGTCATGGACGGTGTCCCTCTTTTCCACCCTCCTAGAGTCAGGACCTCTCTACTTGTCTCTCCTGGTGCCCTGTCTCCCAGGCCTAAACACCAGGGATTGAGCTGGGAGGTGTGGCCAGCCTGGTCCACGCACCAGGTGCTGCTGGATTGAAGCCTCTTCCCTGTGGCCCCCAATCCCTCCTTGCCCTTCCTGGATGGGCCACTGCTGGAGAAGTGAGCATTCCCCCATCTTACAAATGCTGCCAGACTACTGCAGCACCCTGGGGGAGGAAGGGGGGCCGTGCGCTGAGAGCTGACCCCACCCCAGCACCGGGCTCTGCCCACGAGTGATACAGAATTTAGGTGGCCTGAACCCTCACCACACTGAGGATACCCAAGAGTCAGGTGTTGAGGTTAGAGGAGGGAGATTTTGAGGTGAGCGGAGCCCAAGGGGAGGGCTGGGATGCCCCCCCACCCAGCCAGAAGGAAGGGGGCTTCGGAGAGAGCTTCACGGTGTCCCCTGCACTTTGAGAAATCGGGTGGACTGATATCTCACCTGCACACTCTAGAGAGCCGGAGACAGGCTGGGCTGCTGGCCCAGGTGAGGGATCGTGTGAGGGGGGTCCAGTGGGCTCTCAGGCCAGGTCCCAGGAGGCTGCCTGAAGCGTGAACAGACCACAGCAACAGAAGGTGGAGCCGCCACAGGGAGTCCGGGCTCCTTGGTGCCCCGAGGCCCCTGTGAAATAGCCCGGGGTGGGGGGGGGTGGCCAGGCCCCGAGGACCCGTGGAGGGCCTGCGGGAGGGAGGGGCGTAGCTTTAAGCCTCCCACACCAGAGCGCATTGCAGGGCAGCTCCGTTCCAGTGGGCTGCAGGCCCCACCCACCAGTCACCCTATGTGGTTCCAGGCAAGGGGGTGGAGAACCGTCGCATCCCCCCACCAAGCAGCTCCCTGGGCCTGCCAGGTGTCCATCCCGCCACCTGAGGGCGGGCAGAAGAAGAGATTTCCAGGATCAGTAGTGACAGTGACGTCCCAGTTCCACAGCTGTGCTGGTGCGATGTCACGGTGACATCCCCCAGTGCTGTGGCAAGTGGAGGAAGGCTGTTTGGGGGCCACATACACTTCTGGAGCTCTTGTGAGGAGGGGACTCCCCATGTCCATCTCCACCCAGAGCGGCCTCCCTCACAGGCAGAGGCTCTTGGTGGGGTGAGGGCCCAAACCCAGAAACCGTATTGAGGATCTTTCTCTCTCTCTTTCTCCCCCTGCACTACCCCCGCTTGGCCAGGGGCAGGCAGAGCCAGGGCCCCCTAAAAAAGACCCAGGAAAAGGATACAGACTGGGGGCTCCATGGAGCCAGGTTTGGAGTCCCTGAGGATGAGGAATTTGAACTTGGGCCTGCAGTGGAGAGGATAGTGAGCAACAATTGAGGAAGATCCAGAAGACCCAAGACTCGTGGTGTGGGCCCCTCACCAAGGGGGGATGAGAGGATAGCCCCCAGCCAGCCGAAAGTGCTTGCCCCTGCCTCCTCTCAAATGTTGTTACACAAGGAAACAGCCTTCTCCAGGCTTGAAAGGATCCCTTCCTGTCCCCCTTCCAAACTCCCCATCCTTGGGCTCCCCCTCCTAACTGCCAATGTGAGAAAAACCATAGCTGAAACCCGTCAGGCTGAAGTGTGTGCAGCCCACAAGGTAAGCCTCTCTTGCAGCCTTTCCTAACCTTTTTTGGGTCTGATACACTGCCAAAGAATCTGGAAACTCCCCGACTCCCTCTTGGGGTAAGTTTGCTGATGCCCACAAGCCCACACCACTGTCAGGGCCTCCCAGCCCCACTGAGGCCCGTGTGAGGAGCCCTGCTCCTGGACTCCTCCCCCTCCACTCCCTCCTGCCCTTTCTCATTCCTGCATCCCCCAAGGGCCCAGTGAGGGAGTCCAGCTGGAAGTGCCTGGGGCTCTGGAAAAGCCCTGAGGGTGTGGGAGCTAGAGGGGGGCAGGAAGGGGCCTGTAGTGGGGCAAGGATCACGGCAGGGGCACACATACCCCAGATGAGCATTTGTATGAGGGACACCTCATTGATGGCAGCTGCAGTGGGATGTCCCCAAGGCCCACTCACCAAGGGGGGATGAGTGGGCTTGGGGCTTGGCCGAGGAGGGCAGCTGTCCTGTTCTGTCGCAGCTCAAAGCTCCTTCCCTTGGAAGAAAGCATCCTGAGTAGGGGAAGTTCAGCGAGTGTCCCAAGTAGCAGGTGGGTGATTCTACAGAGGGCCATGCTGGTCTGGGGAGTCGCTTCTTTGGGGTGCAGCCTCCTCACACCATGCCCTGAGTCAGACCAGGCCTGTCCTAGATGGTGTGGTGGGGGTTTCCTAGCTGATGCATGGGACATGCGAGGTAGGGTGGGATCTTATCCACCATGGTCACTTTGGAACGAAAGGAACACCGTGGGTACTGGCTTTGTCCCTTTCTGGCCTATGACCCTGGGCAAATCCTTTAACTTTTTTGGGTCTCGTTTTCATCATCTGCAAAGTGAGATCATGACACTTTCCTCCCAGGGCCACTGTGAAGACAGAATGTTCAGTGAGTCCCTGCTTATGGGAGCTTTGCTCAGAGCAGAGGAGGCCAGTGGGCAAGGACTTGGCCCCAGAGAGCTTGGCCTCTGACCAACAGCTTCTCACCCTCGTTCTGGGGCTCCCAGCATGAGGTGCAGCCTGTCCAGCAGGACAGGACCCCTGGGCTGTCTCCTGCCCTGGAAACAGCCCTCCTTGCCTCAGTGGGTCAACAACTCCAGACTATTTTCTGCCCCTGAGGATCTGAAAGTTGGAGCTAATTGGCTGACTCAAAAAAAAAAAAAAAAGGAAGGGAGTGCAAATTCTCTCGTGCATGCTGCAAAGGAGGGGGGGGGTGTCTCTGGCTCTGTTTCCATGGAAACCACTGACACAAGCTGGCTCCTCGGGGTGCAGAAAAGGGAAACTTGGCAGAGGTTTTGGGCACCTGGCTCCTGGGTGGTTTCCCAGGGCTGAGCAAATGGCCAGGAGTCTGCCCTCCCAAGGGGCAGGAAGGATTCCCCTCCCAAACTCAGGGGCCCTCACCCTTTTCCTCCAGCACCACCACCCCCAGGAGATCTGGCAAGGTCCCTCAGCCTCCCTAATGTGGTCCCACCCTCAGGCCCACCCGTGGGGACAGATGACAGGCCCTGGAGGCACAGGCTGCCTTGGGATATAAGGAGTGCAGGAGGGCTGCCCACTGCAAGGTCCCATGTGGGAGGGAGGCAGTTGAGGGTGGGGGGGGACAGATGAAAGAGCGGGAAGGACCCCTGTGTGTGACCCGAGTAATGTGGCCATGGCAGCTTCACCTTTTCCGGTGGTGAGCTCCCATCAGTGAGGCCATTTCCCACCCAGAGACCCAGAATGATGTCCCCAGAAAGGATGCCCAGCACCAGGGGTGGCCAGGGGATGTCTGTAGGGCAGCGGGAGGGACACCAGGAAGATCCCAGGCCTAGGTGGAGCCAGATCCCTCTTTGTAGCCCATCTTGACCAAGACAGCCTGAGGTTGTCTGTGGGGGGCAGCAGGGAGGGGAGGGGCTGGCCTGTTCTGGAACTGCCTCAGGGGAGGCTCTCCAGGCTCCCCCCCCACCCCTCCAAATACCCCGTGGGTACGGGGCGGGGGCTCTCCTCCCCCCAGTGGAAGCTCTCTGCACCCACCACTCCACCCTCCTGTGACTGAGGTAGGGGAGCAGGGAGTGTGTGTGTTAGAGAAAGAGACAGACAGCGGGGGGTCGGGGGGTGGGGGGTGGGGACAGAGAGAGCCGCGGGCCCTGCAACAGGAGCAGGGCCAGAGCCAAGAGCCCGGGAAAGGGGCTTCAACAGGCTCAGAGGGACGGATTAGGAACCATTTATACCCAGAGTGGAACAGAGAGCCAGGGAAGGGGACTGAGAATCTGTCAGAGAGGGGTGGGGAGGGAGAGAGGGAGGGAGAGAGGGAAAGCGACACCGAGGGAGGGAGAGGGCTTGAGGGAGGCAGAGCAGAAGGGGTGGAGCGGGGAGAAGCAGGCGGGGCGGGAGGGGTGGGCAGGGGGCGGGCGCGGAGCCGCCCGTAACGATTACGTGTAGGGCCGTGCAAACATGCGGCAGCCGCCCGCCAGCGCGGCCGTCCTGATCTCAGCGGCAAAGAGGGGAGGCCGGCCACAGTTTCCTTCAGCGCCCAGGATGCATCGGGCGAAGGTAGGCGCCGGCGGGGCTGGGGGCTCTCACCCAGGGGTGGGGAGCCAGGGCTTCCGAGGGTGGCCCTAGACCAAGGGAGCCTTGTGCTTCCTCCTTTGACCTCAAGCGCTGTCGTCCCCTGTAGGGTCACTTTTGAAAAAGTAAGTGTCGGGGTGTCCCGTCTGGGAGGCTAGCCGTCCGGGGCCCCCTCTGGACCTGAGAGGCTTTAGGTGTTTGTGGGGTAGCAGCTGGACAGAAGAGGAGCTTGGGGTCAGGCATGTGTCTGGTGCTGCTTGTCAGGTCCCCGGGGCAAGGGCCAGAGCAGCTTGACCCTGACCCTGAGCCTGACCCAGACCCTGAGCCTGGGCCCACAGCCCTGAGAGGAGGGGGAAGGCTGATTGCTGGGAGGGGCTGCCTTAGGCTTGAAGGCTGGGCAATGAGTGCATCTTTTAATCGTTCAGGTGATCAATGAAGGCAACTTCCTAAAGGGCTCTGAGCCCCTGAATAAGGACACGTGCTCCTAGTTCCCACTCTGCAGGGCGGCTGGGAGGTTGGAGAGAGAGAAGGCAAAGGAAAATGCCTGGGACAGAGTTCAAGAAATAGTAGCAGGGTGTTGGGAAGGCTGAAGAATAAGTAAGTGAAGAAGGAGGGAGAGGAAAATAAGCCAGTTCCCAGACTACAGTTCGCACTCAGAAAATCCGCCCTGATGCCTTGCAAGCTTCTCACATGTTTGGGATAGTCTTGCTTGGGAAGGAAGAAGCAGCATCAGGCTTAGATCTGGCTGCTCAGATCTGGTTCGAACGAGGTTGGTTGCATTTCTCTCTCATGCAGAAGTCCGGAGGGAGGCCATAAAGGGCTGGCACGGGGGCCCCATGGTCAGCAGGGACTCAGGCTCCATCTGTCTCACTGGCTCCCATTCTTGAGGTTACCTTAAAGTCCAACATGGCTGCTGGAGCTCCAGCCAGCACGTGTAGGCAGCAGGAAGTAGAAAGAAGGATGGGCAAAAAACAAAACAAAACAAAACAAAAAAAATAAAATCAGGGTCTTGTGAGTAAGGAAGAATAGATATTGGGCTGGCATCTTGCAGTCTATCTTCACTGCTCCCCTAGCTTCACCGCCCCCTACCCCCAGAGGTGGATTCCTGTCTCTCTCTCACCCTCAAGGACAAGCAGCCCAGAGTCAGCTCGTGGGTGGTTCCAGGCCACACTTCCCCAGAGCCTGGGCCACCCCTGCCCTGTCTGGTCCATCTCCCAGGGGTGCCAGAAGGATCAGCAGAGGTGATGACATGAAACCCCTTGAGCCTGGCGACAGGGCACGTTGAAGGGTGCTTTCTCTCCTGTCACCTCCAGTCTCCCCAGCAACCTCCAGGGCAGAAGCAGAGAAACTGCATGCCTGGTTACGGGCGTCCGTGCGTGCGCTCACTGCACACGCCCGCCACAGCCAACACAGGTCCTGTCCATCCACAGACGTCGGTGTGAGCACGCACCACACCAGCGTGCCCGTGACTGTGCCCACGGCTGTCGGCGCGCGCACGGAGGCAGGCATTTCTAAACCCGGGCTGCACATGGGCGCACACAGCCTGTGCTGTCCACCAGCCGGGAGACAAGCCCCCTTCCTTTGCTCTGCTGGCCCTAACTGCCAGGAGGTCACTCCCGGCCCCTGCCTGGTGAGCGGAGGGTGTGGCTCGAGTCCCGCAGGTGCATCTGGCCCTTTCCTTGGCCACTGTGACCCCACACTGCCCTCTGCGCCCCCTACAACAGGCTCCTGGGCCCCAGTGGATCTCACTCTGCCTTAAGCCTGCCGGTGGCCTTCCTGGGGCTGGCCTGGCCAGAGATTGGAGCGGGTCCCACACCTTCTGGTGCTGGGCAGGCAGGGACAGTGGTTCTAAGGGAAGCCACCACTGGCTCCCTCACCAAGGTCAGCAGGGGGCTTGGGAAAAAAATCTTCCACTCTAGTGGCGGCAGGGACTGCAGTTCAGAGCCCAGGCTGGGAGTTGGCCCAACTCATTTGCCCTCAGCTGCAGGTCAGTCATGGTCAGCGGCTGCCCCCAGTGACACCCCATGGGTGTTCAGTCCCTCACCTCTCTGTGCACTACCCAGTCCCTTGTGGATCCTTGTGACATCCCAGGAGGGCAGGCACTGCCACCTCCCTTTCTACAGACACTGAGGCTCAGAGAGGGGAGCAGCGTGTGCAGCTTGAACTCCGTGAGCTCCTAGGGGAAAGGAACAAGCAGAACCACGGGGTCTCCTGCGGCAGGTGCGAGCTACCGTCCTAGGTCGCTGGGGAGTGATGTCTTCATGGCCTTGCACAGGTACTGGGAACCTCTACCCACCCAGGTTCCAGCCTTCTTGCAGGTGCTTCTGGGAGGTGGGCCCGAATTTGCTCACCCATTTTTTTTTTTTTAAGATTTTTTTATTTATTTATCTGAGAGAGAGAATGGGAGACAGAGAGCATGAGAGGAGGAGGATCAGAGGGAGAAGCAGACTCCCCGCTGAGCAGGGAGTCCGATGCGGGACTCGATCCCAGGACTCCAGGATCATGACCTGAGCCGAAGGCAGTTGCTTAACCAACTGAGCCACCCAGGCGCCCCTGCTCACCCATTTTTAAAGAGAGTGATCAAAGGCCTGAATTGAGATGGGGAGTGAAGTGGCTGACTGTCGTCCAGGTGAGGTCTGGGAGAAGGGCAGGGCTGAGGGGCAGGATCCCCGAGGTGGCCACTTCTCCCTGCACAGCCTATCCAACAGGCCCTGCACCTGCATTATCTCCCTAGAACGCTGGGCAGCCCCGAAGTAGCTCTTGGTATTGTACCCACTCTACAGATGAGGAAACGGAGGTCTGCCCTAGGTTGCAAGCCACAAAGTGTTATAGCTGGAATTTGAACCCTGCTCCATCTTATTTCAAAGCCCAGATCCCTAGGGCTTGGCGGAAGGGCTGGGCAGGTCCTGGGAGAAGGCTATGAACGGAGAGTGGCTTGCTTGTCACCAGGCAGCTGGGAAAGTGCCCCATCCCAGCTGGGGGATGGCTTCATGCGTTTGTGGCCCTTTGTTCCTTCAGAAACCTTTAGTGAGAGCACATGAACCACACCCCATCCCTGGCCTTGTCCCCTGGTTTAGCCATGTGACCTTGAGCCAGCCACAGATCGCTTTCCGGGTTGTAGATCCAGAGCTGCAAAGGAAAGGACCCCCATCTTTTGAATTCAGGATCCCTTTTCTTATCAAAATCCTCCACGAGAGTGGGAGGTGCTCTGCCGGTTCAGGCTGGCTTGGGGCCCATCTGCTCTCTCTGCCCCACTCCAAGGCATCTCTGGTGACGCCCAGGAGCAGCTGCGGAGCCCTGAATGTGGCCTCTATGAGGGAGAGGGGCAACCTTGGTTTCCAAGGCAAAGAGAGAAGAGGAGAGAGAACTTGGCAAGTCTTCCTTAGCTGGTCCTCCAGATAGGGGTGGGGGGTGGGGCAGGAAGGAAACAGGCAGGAAGGAGGGCACAGTGGGGAGTCAGTCACTGTGCTGTGCCCCCACCCCAGCTCCCTATTCCCAGCTGACTGATGTTTCCCTTGAACAGGTGCATCTGTCAGCTGTGATCAGCCTACGTCCTTAGAATGCCACAGAGCAGCCGCGTGACAGGGAGAGAACCAAGGAGACCCACAGGCGCTAGGGTTGGAGAGGGGGAGCTAAGCTGAGTTTTGGCAGGTCAGCCCAGAGGGGGCCTGTCCCACCTCCCAGTTGGCCCGGTTTCCTGCCTCAGGTCTCTGCCCAGCAGCCCCCGAGCCCCACAGGTCCCTGGTCCTCACGGGCCGCATCTCCAGCTCTGCCCCCACCACTGCCCATCCCCGCCTCCAGCACACGCCTCCAGGACAAACAAGGGGTGAACCCGAGCCCACCTGCTGCCAGTGCCGTGGCCCTGTGCCCAGCCCAGCCTGACTCTGGATTAAGATCTTCTCTCAAGACAGACCCTCTGAGCAGTGACCCCCAGCCAGCCAGGTTCTACCCCCAACTCCACCCAGTTGACCCCGTGAGCTTGGGCAGGTCCATCCCCTCTCCGAGCTTCAGTCTCCCCATTTGGACCTTAGATACACTCCTAGCCTGCGCCAGGCCCTCACCTGAGGCCGGTGCCTTGTGCTGACCGGTGGGGGCAGGGAGTAGAGGTGGGGGACCCTACCAGAAGTGCCAGGGGACAGTCTCATGGACACACAAATGCCCATTAGCTTATCATGGAGCCCCATCCCCACCATTTGCTATTGGATGGCTCCAGCCAGGAGAGGATGGTGGCCTGGGACGGCTGTTAATCTGGCTCTGCATCAGGAAGGTCTAGGCTCAGTCCCAGCTCCTTCATGCATTAGCTGTGTGTCCTTGGACAAGTTAGTTAGCTCCTCTGTGCCACGTCTCATTTTCCTGGGGGAAACATCATCATCCTCCCAGATAAATGACGTCCTATATCAGCCTGCTTAGCACAGCCCCGGTATAGAGCAAGAGCTCCATAAACGGTTGGAGGGTCAATGTCACTATTTTCTGATTATTGAGTAGAGCCTGGGAAGGGCACTCCAACAGGAGAATGCCGTCAATGAGCATGCCGTGTCCCCCCCCCCCCCCCCGGGTTAATGAGACACCTGCATCGCTGGGACAGC